CCTCCATGACCCCTGACAACCACCGATCTACTTTCTGCCTCTGTGGATTTAGCTGTTCTGGACTTTCACATAAATGCAGTCATAGGACATGTGACCTTCTGTGTCTGGGTTCTTGGGTGGTATTTCTAATATTATTTTTATGCATGCATCACCATCGTTTGAAAATTACGGAATGCCGATCAGAACAGTATCTTTAGACATCATGACTCTGATTATCCAGGAACAAATAACAAACTTTTAAGTGATTTTTGGCAGGAAAAAATTTCATAACTTTTGAGAGACTATAAAATAACAAATGAAGGATAAATAGCCCCAGAAGACAATCAGTAACCCCAGCCTCAAGTCTAAGAGGCACTTTTATTACTGTCTTTGGCTCACCCCCACATATTACAAAGTCGTGTCAACAACTTCCAATGCTTATCCTCAATCTGTGGGCCTCTCTCCACATCCATGTGACCCCTGCCTTTTAATCCACAATTTGATTTCTACCTGGACTACGGTCATGGTCTTGTACTTGGCCTTCCACACCTGACCTTCCGCATATGACAGCCAGCGTGATGGTATAAAATGTTAAACGTGCCGTGTGACTCTAGACTTCCCACCCCAGCCCCTCNGCGTGATGGTATAAAATGTTAAACGTGCCGTGTGACTCTAGACTTCCCACCCCAGCCCCTCTCCTGTCACCCAGCGTGAAGGCTCATCCCCTATTCTTCACAGAGCTGGCTTTTCCCCTGGCCCAGGTCTTAGGTGAACGGTCAATCCCTCAGTGGAGTGTTGACGGACCTCCCCACTGTACAGGAGCCTCATGCTCACTCCATAACACGGTGTGTGTTTTCCTTTTGCACAGACCTTCCTATCATCTGCATTTTCACATTTATTATTATATTGTTTGTCTTTGTCTACTGGAATGAAGAATCCATAAAAACAGGGAGTTCATCTTTCTTAATCAACATCCCCCCACCCCCCTCAAGAACTGGATTGGACACACAACACGGACTAAGGACATGTTTGTTAACTGAAAAAATAACTGATTTTATGGAGGAAAAAAAGGATCCAGGTTCCCCTGGATAATATCACGTTATTTCTTATGCATTCTTCCAATTCATCAGCAGATATATTACCGGTCGATTGAATGTCAAAGTGGGGATATAGAAATGTCTCAAAATTCCTCTCGGATATTGGAGATTTAACGACCTTCAACATAGTATGTAGTATTGAAAAGCAGAGATATGGATGAATGCTTATTAGTGTTGCATACCTCTAGAATTTTATGGATACATCTAGGCAAGAAAAAAGACAACTTAACATTGTAGGCCATTGATAAAAAATGCCACCAAAACCATCAGGAGTTATGACCGTAAATATGATGAAAGAACTCTGAAGTGTTAATTGTCAAACTCCATAATACTTTCATTAGGATGAAGTACTGTCTTGTTAACTTTTAGCAGACCTCAAACCCCATTCATACTGACACGGATAGCCAGGCTTTTTGAATCTCTTTGGCAGCACAGGAAACGGCCCATTTTTCTTCTTAAATTGAAAAAACAAAACAAAACAAAAACATTTCTTTAAGAAATAAATGAGTTGAATCATCCAGGCTTTTTGAATCTCTTTGGCAGCACAGGAAACGGCCCATTTTTCTTCTTAAATTGAAAAGACAAAACAAAACAAAAACATTTCTTTAAGAAATAAATGAGTTGAATCATCGGGCAGATTTAAGGATATTTTATTACTGAACCACTATGTACAAACTCTAACATGAAAATAATGAGTCACAGAATATCAGACTATTTACAATACTCTTTTGTTTTTTACAAAATGTTTTTTACAAGATTACTTCTCTCTAAATAATGTGACAGACATACACAAAAATCAAACTTTTTTATTACATACATAAATAAATATTGACTTTAAATGACCACTAGAAGGGACACAAGTTCTACAGATGATCTGGATGAGAAGGGAGCAGTTCTGTTATCTGCACACTACAGTATAATTAAGTAAAGGGAAAAAAATAAGAACTTTATTATATAGACCTCTGTTAATCACTCTGTCAACTGCATAACTTGCTAAAATATTCAGTAGACGTAAGACAGTCATGAGAGTCCATAAGGTACCTTTCACTGAGCCTGGCCATGCAAAACCACAGATAAGAGTCAACACTTTTCTGGATTCATTCATATTTTGAAATGAACGTTAAAGTACATGCAACATTTATTTAGCCATCGTGGAAGTTTGTATGAAAAGATTTAGAATTATTTGCAATCGTGGAAATGATTAAACTTGAGGAACCCGTGGCACACTGCGTGGGCTAAGAAAGGGCATTAAATAAATGTCAATATTGCAAGTGGCACTTCCTGATACACAGGGCAAAACTAATATTTGTACTTGCATGATAGAGGTACAAGTTAAAATTCAGTCTCGTAAGCAGGTTTTTCCGTGGACATAAAAGACACAGTTTAGGCCTTTGAAGTCAAATGGAATACCTTCCTGGCTGCCCGTTGGTTCCCAGGGCTTCCTCCTACAGTTTATTGGGTTGTTTATAAAAGGCAATTTCTCATCTATTCCATAAAAATCACTCTGTGGCAGCGGTTCTCAGCCAAGGGTGCCTTTAGCCCCCAGAGGCAGTTGGCAATATCTGGAGACACTTTTGGTTGTAACAACTCGGGGGAGGAGGTGCTACTGGCGTCCAATGACCAGAGATGCTGACCAACACCCTACAATGCACACGACAGTCTTCACCACAGTTATCAGCCCCCAAAAGCTGACAGTGCTGAGATGTAGAGCTACCGCTCTATAGAGGCAGTTGGGTGGCTATGTGTTCTTTAATCTTTTAACTTCGTTTAATAAACATTTCATAAATTACCTGTCACAAACTTTATCTTCCCTAAGATGCTGTATTAAAACAGTTAATGACGTGAAAGGGCACACGGTGTGTAAAAACTGTTCTATAGAGTTCCAGTTAGAAAAAGAAAGCTGCACAGGTAAATTATCACTAAGGAGTAAATGTTGCAGATGGAAATAATGCATATATGTAACTACAATACATATCAAGTTAACTACCTGTATTTGATGACTTAATAATTTTGGTAAGCTCAATTTTTTTAAACAGTCAATACTATCACTGGATATGTTTTTCTCATGTTAGAGAAGTGCATCTAATTTCAATAAGACGTATTAGAGAATTAGGCACCAAACTATGTTTTTTTTAAAAAACAAAAACAAAAACAAAAACATAGGTTTTATCATTCATTAGAGCACTCACATTTTTAAAATTCAAAAAATTGTAATTACATTTTTAATCACTTCGATATTATTGGAGATTATTAAAATTCCCTTAAAAACTCATGTTTTTTTTATTATCTCATGAATAACATTTTTCTTCCAATAGCACTAATAAAATAAAATTATCATTTTAATCACTTCGATATTATTGGAGATTATTAAAATTCCCTTAAAAACTCATGTTTTTTTTTATTATCTCATGAATAACATTTTTCTTCCAATAGCACTAATAAAATAAAATTATCGAATATTATAGCAAAATCAGAAGCTCATAAGAACTGCTTTAGATTTTTTAAGGGAGACATAAGCTTCAGAACCATCATTTGAACTGAAAAATATATTTATTTGCTCAATGTCTATTAACCAGACAAAGGAAACATAATTAGATTTTACAAAATTAAATTTATATAATAATTTAATAATATTTTGTATCTATGTATATACTCTCTCATTTGTAACTATACAGCAGTATAAAAATTTGCTGGCATAAATATTTGGATTTGTTTATGACAAACTAAGGTAAAAGCTAAACGGGTAGCCAATAATAAAAAGTTTTAATTTTTGAAATTTTAGGAACTTAAAATTCAGATGATGGAAATAACAGTAGAATAAAGCATAGTTTCAGAGAAAGATGTGTATGGTACCAGTTTGATCAAGCTCAGGAGTGTTTTCAAATGGAGACCATTTCCCATTTTCTCCATTCAAAAATTCTTGGAAGCAGGTGGTTTCACAATACATTGTGATAAGTCCATCCCAGCCTACGTTAGGAGCTGCAGAGAACCCTTCAGAACCAACCTGAACTTTAAATCTGAGATTCCCAACTGATAATACTTGTACAAAGCTGGAAAACGTTCCTCCATTATCCACTTTTTAAGTATTTTAACACATAGGAAACGGGTTTCAATATCTGCTTTCAGGTATCCATGTTGATAGCTTGTGTTTCCTAAAGACGTGTGTTGACGTAATAGTAAAAGTCATTTCTCTCCATTTTATTTGGCACCTGCCTTTAGACTCTTCAGTGAAGACTCAGGGAGCCCGTGAACTGTGAGTCATCTTCTGTCCCCAGGAATGTCAGAACAACAGGACTAGGAGACAGTCCCATCATCAAAACCTAAGAACAACTTAATAACTGATTGTCTTCCATTGTACTTGAGTAGATAATGAAACAAGGAAGCCTCTCTTATCGCGTTTAATTTTGATAAACTACCCTTTTCTTGTAGAATCAGCATTGATGGGGAAAGTATATTATCCTTATGACCTTTAGAAAAACTGTATGTTTATCCAGTGTTGGTGAGCTATGAAAACAATTTATTAAGTGATTCATACTCAAGGTATATTCACGTATATGCATCAGTCTGTGTGTGCATATATGGATATGCATATATAGTTCTATATATACACACACATAATTATACAGGCACACATGTCTGTGCATATTTCAAACCACGTTATGTGGGTAGTTCTTTAAAAATCTTTGTGTTTTAGATTGCCCCAATATACACCGGAACACTATATATTGTAGACATGTTTTGACTTGACATCATGCTACAAGGGGCTAGTTTGGAGCATGAGAAATGTTCCAAATGATAAGAGATGATAGATTTGAAAGAGTAAAGGTTAAAGGCAAATAATCGTCCTTTTCTATCAACCGAAGCCCTTTTTATTAACATTACTGAGAATATTCTCGCATATAAATAGCTTACTTTGATTTTGAAAAGGCAAATCTTCCTAAAAATTGGAAACTGCTCAATAGTTGGGATTCTTTCCTTTGAAGCAAGAGGTTTTGTGAACTTTCAGATGACAAAACAAAGTGCTCTATTAGCTGTTGCTGCATTGAGGAAAATAAGGTAAAATATAAATAAGATAAAATACCAGAAAAATCTTTCATAGTAGAAGGTAAAATATTAAAAATATCTCCAGAAAAGAATTTTCATTCCTGCAAGGCAAAGTCCGGTTAGCAGTTTAATTCACTGAATTCCTCTGGCTTTGGGTGTCTTTTGTAAATAAATCATAACTTACAGATTCAACTTGTATTTTTCTTTGTATAAAAAGAAGCATAGCGTGATTAAAGTGGGAGTATTTTTAGACTTAAATTCAGTGGTGTATTTCAGGTTACAAATTTTCCATTAAAAACTCACCCACGATAAAAATGATCTTATGAAAAACTTGAAGAATAGTGTCCAAAGGCTGTATAATCTTAGTTGATTTTGCAAATCAAATTAATAACTTAATAAAAAATATATCTTATTGATTAAATTTATGCTTAGTGTATGTATGAATTGTGCATTTGGTACACTACTTTGTTTTGAGAATTTGCAGCTCCAAATTCAGGGAAATCTCAGTTCTGCAATAATTTAATAGAGATTAGCAAAACCATATATGAAGACAAAATTTAGAGTTAAGGAGGTGTATTCTTCATTTTCTCCACTGTCACAGGGAATTGGTGTCCATCTTCACTGGATAACTCTCTGTCCCTGGTTTCCAGATGCATCCGCGATTGATACAAGTCCTTGCTGCACTAAAGTTACATATAGAGAGTGCTTCTGAGAAGTTCCTATTACTTGTATAAGTACACGTGGCTAGAGGCTAAGTTCCACAAGCTTGCACACTCGTGCAATTTTTAAACACCTTTTTGAAGAGTTTAGTATCTTTCTGGAGAAGGCTTGTAATGATGTGGATGATGGTGTTTAAGATGGGATCCTAAGAAATGACAAAATATATCAGTCACGTCACTTTACACAAACCAAATGGACAGTAGAAATACAATTCCTTGTTAGCGACAGCACCAGAATCTGGCAAATGTTCCCTTCTGATTCTGATGTACAAACATGCTCATTCATTCTGTCTTTTCGCTCTCTCCCCTTCCCCATATTTTCTTGTCTTTCCTCCTTGGGTCCCTCCCTAACGCTATAAAGTAACAAAAGAAAGAAGACCAGCTCTTTTACTTAAGCTCACAATTATTTAAGCAAACCATAATCTTTTTTAATTCCCTTAAAAAATTAATATTAACAAATACTTTTATTAAACAGAATTTCAGTGGAGGAATATCAGAAAAGCATTTCAAACTTAAGAGTGTATCAAGCACCCCCACTGTCATACTTTCTGTTTTTCTTCAAAAGAGGACTAATTTGACCCATCATCCAAAAAAAAAAAAAAAAAAAAAGATCAGAGTTTGAACTATGATGATTTTCAATTTCCTTACACAAATCTTTAGACATTCCTTTTTAAGTTAAACTAGGAAAAAAAGTAAACCAAGTAGGGCCGGCCCGGTGGCGCATCCAGTGCACCACCTGGGAAGGGCAGCGGCGTTCCCGCCAAGGGTTTGGATCCCACATACAGACCGGTTCCCGCTCACTGGCTGAGCGAGGCG